ATCTATTGGTTGGGGGCCGCGCCGAAAAAGTGGTCACTTTTTTAAAAACATTTCTCAAACAAAAACAAGTGTTGGGGCCTAAATAAGGCAATTTTTCACCATTTGAGACAACAAAAATCGGGGGGGGGGGGGGTCGGGTAATAGGTTAAGAGAATCAAAAATGACACGTTATAATAGTCGAGCAAAATAGTCGAAATTTTGGGCATTGCGTATATTCAAATAAGGTATGACTTTTCAAAATATAATTGTATCAAACCATTTCCCGTTTACAAACAATAATTCAATGTGATTTCTTTTGAGTTACATCAATATTTCTTTTGTTTTTGTTAGTAAATATTATGTTTTTGTAAGTTTGTCTCCGTGACAGGAGAACTCCAAAATTACATTCTAAGAATAGTCAAGTGTGATAGTAAACACTTATGTTAAAGTTAACTTCCAAAGCGTCAAATTGTGCGTTTTATATCAGATCATCTATATAAAATGAAATGTTAACGATTTATAATACTTCAATTAGAAAAAAAAATAACCCAAAATATTAAAAAGATTTTTAACATTTTATTTTGACAGAAAAAAAAATAAAAAAAGTGACATCTTTTACGTAATGTGGAAAAATTAGAATTATCTTTTTTTTAACCAAAAAAAAGGGGAAATAAAGAAATTTCAACCCCGGGTTTGGGATTTCACAGAATTTACAGTTCTTCCCTTGCCCAAAATTAAGGAAATTTGGTACGGCCGTTGGTATCCGGCGGTGAAACTTTTATGAAAAAACCAAAACAACAACAACAAAAAACAAGGTAAATGCTCATTCTTCATAGAAAAAAATAAACCGTAGAACTTTCATGTTTAGATTTCGCAAATGACTAATGAAAGAGATATTTACAGTAGTTGTTTAACTTGTTTTTGTAACAGGGTGTGAAATATGTGCAGCCTGACCGAGACTAGAACCCGGGACCCTCGGAATATCATTCCGCGGCTCTACGAACTGAGCTGTTCGGCCGGAAATAGTGAATTGTTATAAAGTGTGAAATACCCTCTCCCAATTTAATTGAAATTCGGTTTAGAAAGAATGAGAAAAGCGTGGAGTTCGGGACCCGGTCCCGGGGCCCACTAACAAAGTTCTATGCTCCTGCGTTTATGAATAAATTATGCAAATGAGCCGCCATGTTGGTGTTTCGATAAGCGTGTTGGAAATTGCTACCTGTTCGTTTTGAAAGCTCGTCCTAACTTACAATTTCCTTGAATGTATGAAAACTTGGTTTTCTTTCATTGCATATTGAATGACAGGTATTGCAAAATAAATATAATGAAAATCGATCAATAAATAATTGTATACGAGCGTTATAAAGTCAATTTAATTCGTCAGAATAATAAGGTTCTGTTGCAGGGTATCGGTAAAAGACTGCTTTTTTTCCCCGTTTTTGAAATTTATTTGAACACGGAGACAATTTTTCTCAAACAGATTTATGAATATACTTTCCGTTGCAACAGAGTTTACCGTGTGTCCATTCCTTATCTAAATTGTCTGAGAAGTTAAATCCGTTTGTTTACATGTAAATGTGTACCGTCATTTTGACCGAGTGGAATAAAAACTACCATGACGGTGATAATACCGGATATGTAATGAAAATTACGCCGTGTAGTGCAAAGTTTTGGACATTGCAATTAAAATTAACACTTACGTTGACTCAAACTGTTCCTTGTCAGCAAAATTGAAACCGAAAGTAGAGGTTGTTCTAGAATTTAATCGAATAAAATGGGTGGGATTTAACCACAGCGCATGCCCTGTGCGAACGTATTGTTTACATCCGGTCGTAGCATAGGGTAAGAGTGCAAACTTTGTTAGTGGGGCCCTCGGAATAACATTCGGCTCGGCCTGAAATAACAATAAGTTACAAACCGTGACAATCTGTCATGTCACTCTTTGTATTCTAATTAACTATGAAAATAATCTCAATAAATGTATTGTATATTTCTTATTCAATTTCCCGCATAAAAATATCCCTTTATATAATTCAGTTCATCAGTAAAAACTTGGATCTATAATTTTATATGTTTTAGACTTAAAGATATTATGTTTTTTGTCATATGTAGAAATAAGATACCAGAAAAATAGTCTGTGATAGTGTATACTTGACGGTGTTATTTGATGGTGTATTATCAAGGAAGCAGGTATTGGCTGGCTGCTACGAGATATTCCGTAACGGACAATCACGACACCTTTCTTTCACACAAACAAAATTCTATTCAATGTAAAATACAAAAATGTAAACACCCTTCAGACAACTAATTTACCGAAAAGTGAGAAAACTGCAATATTGTTTCGCTACAATGGCATGCAAACATTAACGGAATATAAATTGAGAAATATGCCATAACGCCACATGGCATTTTTACCAGATCATAGTTTAGCCACCTCATCGTTCTTGGGCATGCTGTCAAGCAGTTTACCAGTACTACTTGATATCACTTTCGCATGAACTAATAACTTCTGTACATGTCAGAGGAGAGGTTCAGTATGAATGAGGATTTCATGATCAACCTCAACGAAAATGACCTGCACCGTCAGGATTCCAATCCGGGTTACCCGATACACATGTTAAATGTTCAAAAATGTGCAGATCTAACAATAAAGAGTTAAATTTGTTAACAAATACGTGATTTTAAAACACAGCCTCCACTTTACCTATAGGGTAAAGTTGTTGAGACGTCCGTCCGTGTGTCTTTGTGTGTGGCATGTACAGTAGGTATACTAAAACAGTAGCATCACCCCCCTTAAAATTTAGACAAAAAAATGTATTACTTAAAGACAAGGCAAAAAATAGTTTTGATTTTTCGTTTTATAAATATTATAAAAAATAAAACTTTACGAAATCGAAATGGGTCATCCAAAATGACATTTAAGGCGGTACCCTGTGTTAAAATAGGTAGCATAAAAATTACCCCCCGGTTTTAAAAATTAAAATTCACCTGACAAAATCGAATTAAAGTTCTTAAAAAGCAGTAAAGAAAAAAAAAACATTTTAAATTTCCATAAAAAATAACAAGTGTAAAACATGAATAAAGATACAATGAGGCTAAAATAATGAGATATGGTTATACGAACGAAAAACTGTAGACATTAAATGTGAGATTTGTAAACTTTCAAGTATCAAGTATATGGAAAGCCAAAACTTTTCTATATATTTATAAAACATATGTGTAAAACTAAATACCCCATATGATCAGGAAACAGTTATATCAAAGTGTTAAACATACAGTACTAGTAGGTTATTTTACTATCAAGAAATTAACAATACATGTCATAATACTTTTAACATAGACTAAAAGAAGAAGAATATTTCTTTTGTATACAGTGGATAGACAATTTTTTATGAAGTTAAAAATAAAGGCACGTTATGCCTCAGAAACATATAAATTTTACTTCCTTTAGAAAGAGAAAACTTGCAATAAAATGGTTTAAGAGCGTGTTACATGCTTGATACATGAAGACAATGGCTTTAAATAAGAAATAATATGCCATTAAAGTATCAAAATGTATTCAAAGTAGATTTTTTGATTTCCAAGCTAAACAGCACTAAATGCCAAAAAGTAACAGACGAAAAAGATGGTTAAGGTGATTGGCCAATGAGTAACTTTGTGAAATCTGTATAAGTACACTAAAATAAAATAAAAGGTTTTAAAGAAATAAAAAAAGCATTTATTGGAGCATAATGGGCCTTTAAGATACGAACTGTAGAGTCGATAAGTATTCTAATCAGCACAGTATTTAGGTAAAGTGGGTATGATGTTTTTATCTGACATCATTTGCAACAACCATGAACATTTTTACATGTCAACAAGTGTAAGGTCTTATAAGATACACATGTAACACTGATATCGAAATCATTAAAGTAAAAGATAGAAACTTAATTTGCGGCTACGGGTTTTCATGGTTGTGACAAACTTCACTTGTTCACCTTGAATAAATCAAAGAACCCTTACGTGATTGGCAACAATGTGAGTATAGTTACAGAAATTCTTTTTAGGTAGTGTTCAAGGTCATTCATAAATATGTGTAGGTAGCACCAAATATCAAACACACATCACCATTTGTAGAAATCACAGCACCAGATATAAAATGATAGAACCATATTTGGAAATCACATCACCATAATTATATCAAAATGACATCACAATTTATCAAAATGACAACACAATTTATCAAAATCACAACACCATATAGGAAAACCACATCACCTTCATCAAACCGACATCACCATATATCAAAACTACGGTGTTACGTTTGGACAATCGGGATTTTTTATTTAGTCTGTACCCGCGATGCACGATGGTACGATGGTGAAAACGCAATGGCACAATGGTACGATGGTTTAAACACGATGGAACGATGATGAAAACGCGATGGTACGATCGTGAAATCGCAAAGGCGCAAAAGTACGATGTGAAAACGCGATGTTACATCGCGTTTTCACCATCGTACAATCGTATTTTCACCATCGTACCATCGTGCCATCGCGTTTTCATACCATCGTACATCGCGGAGAAGGACGAAATAAAAAACACGATTGTCCAAACTGAACACCGTATAAAACAGCATCATATACCTAAACCATTAACCAATTTATCATAACCACGTCACCATACATAAAAACGATATTACCATAAATAAAAATAACATCACCATACGAGTACAAATGTATATAATTACCATACATGAAAACGACATTACCATACATGGAAACCACATTACCATATACATATATCAAAACCATTGCACCGTTTTTAATAAAACGACATCACCATTTATCCAAATCACAGCATCATTCACCACTTTAGAAGTGTGTATATAAGGGAGCTATGGCGTTCCATACTTTCCACTAACATGTAGGAAAATCAATGTTTGCTGTGTCATCAAGTCTTCCGCTACATTTCCACATTCGTTGTGTTTATTCATTATGTAGTGTGTATATATTTGACGTTTATTCTTAAATGTTTGACAACATGTTTCTTGTATTGACAGAATATCAAGCTTCTGAAATCTTCCTTACAAAAGGGACATAATTAAATATTATGTACTCATTCTCTCCCGTCTTAACTGTAATGTTTAAACAACGTCAGCGAAAATGCGAACAATGATAATAGTAAAAGGTTAAAAGGTAGGTTATATTACGAATGAAGGCAACGAGTAGGGAGTGAATAGTTAAAGCGGTTAATGAACAAAATACAAAAAGGAAATATGGCAAAACTGACTGTGGAATATCCTAATGGAGGAAGTGACGAATTCGTACATGCATACGGCATGACACACTAGTAAGTCATATAGTTTTGTATTTTTAAAAGTTTGATTCATTTTTGAGGTTTTTATATAGTGTTATTTTTATCTTGGATTGTAGATCCCATTTTTCTCCGCCACTGTAAAAATAATAAGGGATTGGCTTTCAACCCTCTTAACCGAGAGATTATGGGTTCGAGTCCTAGTCGGGTCACGACCATGTTTCTTCATATGACACTAGTTCTGGTTGGCTCCAGGAAGTGGACTCGAAAGCAATTAATATAAGTCGCAAGAACTTGTTACGCGATCGAGATTAAACAGATATTTTTAAACCAAAATTTTTTACATGCATTACTTATTATGTTGACATAGTCGTAAACAAGTTTGATCCAAATGATAAGTATATAGCAAAAGCAAATGGGTTGGGCAACAAGTTCTAGCAACATAAGATTAAGCATTTCCGAGTATTTCTTACCTGATTATGTAAGTATCATGCATATTGTAAATTGGGTTATCATGACCACGTGACGTGATAATTGTTCAGTTCAATCTTTTTGCATGTGCAAGTCTAATTACATGTTCAAGACTTGACTGTTTAAAGGTCATAATAATATGAAAAAATAATTTAACATAGGCCTAGGGTTTGCCAATTTAATTAAGCCATGTAAAGAAAGGGATCGACTTACATATCCTGTGATCAAACTACATTTATGTGACAAACACTCCGAAATAATATCACACAGTTATACATCATATGGCACATGTCCATGTACTAAAAAATAACTTATGACAGATTCTACTATTTGCATCAAATGCATTCTATTGGTTTTATTCTATTTAAAGAACTTGTTGATTTTATCGTGTTTTTTGTGTTTGTTTTTATTTTTTCAGCAAGAAAATGCTTTTTCCAAACCGTGACTTAAAGTTACAGATTGAATCTATACAGGAGCTTGACATACGTGACGACGATATATACCTAGCTACTTATCCTAAATGCGGTACGAAGATCCATAAAATATTTGTCAGATTTTTCTAAAATCTTTTAATTTTTTTATACTGCAATTCACTGAAACACCATTTTCCTTTATCAAGGCATATATTTCTTACAGATGAAAAGATATATGGGTATTCAAAGTGTTTAGCAATAGCAACAGCATAACAAAGAAATCCATATATCATAATTATGTTCTTGAATTTAACTCCATTAATTGCACTATAGTAAATACAATTTCAATGAATGGTGATTTTTATTCTTTTAAAATCATTCTACCTTTACTTCAGGTACTCACTGGGTTTGGGAAATATTGGTAATGTTAAAACGAGGCAACGCCGAATACGAAACTAAAACGAAGGAGGCAGCTTTCTTAGATTTCCGGTCACCGGAAGTTGTTGGAAGTCTTCCGTCTCCAAGAATATTGAACTGCCATTACCCTTGTAAACTTATACCGAAAGAAATGCTACAGAAGAAAACAAAAATAGTACATGTCATGAGAAACCCAAAGGACGCCTTTGTCTCTTTTTATCATCATTCGAACACAATGTTAGGAGGCATGTTTTCGAAGAGTTTCCAAGACTTCCTTCCGCTAATGTTGGGACAGCATGGCGTTTGTGAGTTGTATATTTTACTTTATGCTTGTCAATAAGCTTAATGATTACTATTCATGTAACATTTTTGTTTTAAACCAGCTTTTTACTTGACCATTTATCTAACATGACCCACGGTCCTGTGGTAAAGGTTTGTTTTTTATTTATTTCAAACCTCTTGTTCCTAACTGCCTTGTGTTCGACTCCCGCCAGAGACTTTGGATAAGTGCATGTAAGAAAGCTAGCATATTATAAGCCGGAGGTTCGACTCGGATACAATATTACACAACGTTCTTAGGGGCACACGAGGTCTTTCTCCACCAGAAAAGCTGAAAAGTCGCCACATGACTATTACAGTGTCGGAGTAACTTTAAACCCAACTAATCAATAAATCAATCTATCCAATTTCTATATATGTACAGAATGATGCCATTTTATAGTGTACTAGTAACTGATTTGTTTGCAAAATATTTACTTAGACGCCTCCGTGGTCGAATGGTTTTGGTAAATCTAGATGATTTCGAATCACTCGCTAATCACCGTTATGGGTTCGAATCCTGTCAGAATATGAATCATTTTAGGTGAAAAATCTACCAAGTTAGCTTACGAGAGGTTGGTGGTTCTACTTGGGTGCTATCTTGTTATCAATGTAATGTAACAAAAGGCATCTGAGATTGTTCCTTCTTGTAAAAAGTTGTGAAGTTAAGAACTGCGCACCTTGCAAAAAAGTTAATGAATAAAATAATATGAAAAAAAACCCCAAAAAACATGTTATAATCCCGTACATGTTGTTATCTCACATTAAGTTTCTACGTCATAATTCTCAATATATTTCAGACTTGTACTACCCATGGTTCAAGTATGTCAAAGAATGGGAAAGATTTTCAAAACAGCACCCAGAACAAATCTTAAATCTCTTCTTCGAGGATCTGAAAGAGGTATTTATTAAATTACAATATGAGCCGCGTCACGACAAAACCAACGTAATGCGTTTGCGACCAGCATGGATCCAGACCAGCCTGCGCATCCGCGCAGTCTGATCAGGATCCATGCTGTTCGCTTACAAACCCTATTACAAGTAGAGAAACTGATAGCGAACAACATGGATCCTGATCAGACTGCGCGGATGCGCAGGCTGGTCTGGATCCATGCTGGTCGCAAACGTATTACGTTGGTTTTGTCGTGACGCGGCTCATATATGATATCAGATGAAAAATCTCCAACATAGAAAATATCGTCACGTAGCCAGATACTTGGCTTTTCGATGTTAAAGGCCCATTATACCCCCAACTTGCTTTTTTGTTGCTATTATGCTTTTTATTTTAGGTGTACCTAAATAGTTGTCAAAAACGATACTCGATGACCAATTATCTGAGCCATCTTTTTCTTCTGTTGCTTTTTGGCAATGAGTATATACACTTATAGCGATTTTGTACGAAAGTCAAAATACTACTTTGTGTACATTTTGTTACTTTTGTGACAAATTGTTTTACATTTAGTACTACCTTTTTAGGTAACAAGCATCTAACATTCTCTAATACCATTTCTTAAATGTTACAAAATTAATATTTGCCCTTTCTAAGAAAGCAAAAATTAATATTACGTTTCTGGACACAATGTGCTTTAAAAGGCTTTGTTGTTAATTGTACGTAATTTTCAACACTTGTGTTTGATCTTCACATAACTGTAATGGTTTTTGAGAATAGACGATCTAATGTTTTTTTTTTCAAGTTCAGCTTTTTTTCATATCTGCAATTTTACTTCATATACATCAGGACCTGTTAGAGAAATCAAAAGAATAAATGACTTTCTTGGTACCGGTAGAAGTGAAGAGCTCTTACAACAGATCGCTGAATCGTGTGACTTTAAGAATATGAAGAAAGCTGACGCCGAAATCAAAGAGTACGATGAAAAGATGAAGAAACAAATGCCTTTGATGTATAGAAAAGGTATATACACGGAAATTGGCGTGACAGTTGATTGTTTAGAAAAAAATGTATAATAAAATGTATTTGTCATTGTCAAAAGATGTATACCCTCTGATGTAATTTAACGGCTGAATTTAGGATTACAATCTAAGCATCATTTTTACTTATTTGACGACAATTTCTTTTTAATTTAGGAGTTTAAAGGCGTTTGAGCATTACGTTGTTGTTTTTAGTTATAATTCTAACACAGTGATATATATTGATTCTTTTGTAGGAGAGGTCGGTGACTGGAAGAATATTTTTACAGTTGCACAAAATGAACAAATAGATGAGTGGATTGAAGAAAATTTGATAGATACTGATCTCAAGTTCAGATACACGCTTTAGATATAGGTGGGACAGAAAAGTACATTTTAGTCCCAGAATATAGAGAAATATAAACAACACATTCGTACTCATTATGACATCAAATTAGTTTTAATATGTTAAAACATGAAAACCGCACCCGGACAGCTATTTTCAAAGGTGGAAAAGAATAATAATCTAATAATAAGAATAATGGTTGGAAATTTCCTATTATATAGTGCCACAGTTTTAATGCAAAATGGAAGTTTAAAAGACTCACACTTAATCTTTTCCTTAACTTTAAAACACCTTACATTGTATTTCTGAAAGGATATTTTCTTTATGTTTTATAAGTAATAGTTAATTGTATTGTAACGTAGTTGTATTGTATTGTAAATTTAATGTAACTGTATTGTGAAATAAACAATTTTACGCGAAAAACAATGTCGATTTAGATATTCGACACCAATGCAACGTGTTTTAACATCTTATGCGCATAAAATTTTTCCTTGTAACCCGTATTAGTACATTTTATGTACTTATATTTTTAATTGAATGTTACACTTTGCCTTACATATAAGATTATTGTACCTGCGTCCAACAGAGCTGTCCTATATATTGCTGTGAATTTACGTGTATTGCATGTCACCTGTACCATGTACGTGCAAAGTCATGAATGGCAAAAAGTTGCAGTAAAACAAGTTGGAATACCAATTGCAGTCTAGAAACCTATATATTTTGTTCCAGTTCCAAGATAATATATAGTAGACAAGTTCACATAAATTCTAGACATTTTATTAGGAATCTAAAACTTATCGACTGATAACTAAAATATTCTATTTAGGACAAAACTGGCTGGTTAAGCATTTGTTACGAATATTATCATATTTTTATTCTTAAAGCCTCGCATTAAATAGAATTTTCAATAAAATACAAGAATAGCTATATTCGTTAATGTTAATTGTTTTATACGACTTCCGTTTCTTATTTTGATTTGTCCAGTTACAAATCAAAATGAGATTTATAACCTATAAAGTTCTGCACTCTTGTGCGAAATCGGAGGTACAATTTTCTATTGACAATGAACCTCCTTTGGTCATCCTATATCAATGGAAACAAAGAGCATACCGAATTTAACGTATATTTCCGCATTATATTATCGGATTCATTTCATACAAATTCGATCTTTTTTATGAATGTATTATTTTTTTTGTAAAGTAGAGGGCAAATGCACCTTTAAACTTAACGGTAAAAATTTTTGCCCAAAATATCTTCATATTTATTTGTGATTCTACAATGATTTTTCAACTTGGTACTCGGTACTTACGATCTTATATTATAAGTCTTATTGGCATGCTAAAATTGTGTAATATCTTAATTCTTAGTATCATACGTTGTCTCCAATTTTATCGTAAAACCTTATATTTAGCCTATAATACCATTGATCATTTGTGTGTAAAATGTGATTTACTATTGAAAAGATCCCTTGTTACATTAGTTCATAATTTGCTATCTAAATCTATTATTATAAATCTTTGTCAAATTACTATTCATACTTGGCACATATGTTGGACTTATACCTGATTGCCTTTCATACACATGTGTCTCTCAGTCTTTAATTCCTTGTACTGTATGAAAACTTGAGATGGAATCTCAAATTTGCCAATATATTTTTTTACGATGCATGAATATAATTTGATCCGGTAATATTAATTTATTCGCGCAGTATTTTGCGCAATTGCAAAGGATTAAAAGTCCAATAGTAGAAAATGCATTAATCAATTCGAGTTAGTGTAAGTAAAAAAAATAAAAATCATATAAAATAGCTTTTAAAAAACACATAAAAGATTCTTTATAGCTTTGTGGCCAATTTGTTATATATATATGATATTATGTTTATATATATTTACGATTTACTTATCTATTTGATATTTATTGTTCAAAATAATTGGAACTATATCATTTATTATATATATTATATGTTGTTAGAAATGTCTCTATATAAATACTATTTTATAACATAAAATATAACTTATTTTTAATAAATTTTATAACATATTATTTTGAGGTTTATATTATCATTCTTGCAGAATATTGTGATACTTACGTGATATTATAATTTTTAAATTGTACCCGTTTATACAGTTTAGCTAATTTTTATCCTTTTCCGACCTGGATGAGATGCCTAAACAGAAATCTTTTTATATATTTTTAAAACCTCTTGAGAAGTTAAGATTTTGGAATATACACACATTTTTTATATCCGGTTCCTCGTTCAATACATGATAATCCGTTGGTAATTGTACAAATTTCTTTTTACACTTCTACAAAATCATTTACATTTATGAGATTGGTATTAATAAAAGATAACTTTAAATACCGATTAATTCATTTATTCATAGTTTTATATAGATTAATCCTCTGTCAGGTACTTATGAAAACCACCTTTTTTTATATATATATTATATCTAGCTGGCAATATATTATATTTTTTTTTTTTTTTTTTTTTTTTGTATTATTTGTTTTAATTTTCTTTGCTTTTAACTTTTTAATTTTTTTTTTTTTTTTTTATTGACTTTATTAGCCTGACAATCGCTTCAGAAAGGAATATCCAATATATTGTGTTATTATTTTATCATAGTTTTTTGAGACTTTGTTGACCATGTTGTCAGGGTTTAATCTATAACATTAATGCACAGTGCGTTAACTGGAGTGCGTTATTTGTTACCACGCACTCAAACATGCCCATTGATTGGCTCATTTTTGCTGGGTTTACATATTTGAGGCAGAGAAATGAAAGCGACAGAAATTTCATATTCAGATGTTACGTTCATATGGTATTTTATGCCTGTTTCAAATATTGTGAAGACAGAACGGCTTTTATGTTGAACTATGAACAAAATAGAAGAACAAAACAACCGGACATCTGATAATATCGGGCTCGCCCCTCGTACAAAATCAGATAGCCCGTTTCGGTGCTCACTTTCTATTACGGTAATACATGGGTATAAAATGATCTTATTACACTCTGCTTATTTTAATTTAAATTACTGCTAAAAAGTCACTAATGATACTTGAAAGAGGATTTTGGCGTTGAATTTAAGTCCGCTATTTTGTATATCTTTATAAATATCAATTCACGTTTTAAGTATCTCTCCGCTTAATTTTTCAAAATTTCTTTGTGACATAACTTAAAATCACATCCTTTTAAAGCCTTATAAGACTAAAATGTAATTCTATCGTTATAGCTTGCCTATGCAGAATGCGCATGCCGAAATGCAACATACATCGCTATGGAAAATCGTACTGTAAAAAGTATATTGTAATCGGTTAATTAACAAAATGAGCAAATAGCTAAAATTTACCCAATCGCACTTTGTTCCAGTTAAACATGAACTAGACAATATTTTTGAAGAAAAAATGTGTTTTTAGAATTTTTTATTTCTTTCATTATAGTATTTAAAAACAAGCATTGTATTTTAAAATGTTATCTCTTTAATGAACTATAGTAAAATAACTTAAGAAATTCAAGGTATTGGAATGTTAATAACCGGAACAAGAATGCAAGTGGCCGAGATAGCTCAGTAACGGTTTGCCAAGGGTCGGGTCCATCATGTTAGGCGTAGTTATTTCTCTCGTCTTTACATTATACCCCAATAGGGGGACTCGTGACTTGTATTCAGCCTCAAAATTGATATTACATTTCTCTTCGTGCTTCTGTTAACCTGAAATTCGGCGGACAATTTCATTTATTATGGGGCTATATTCACGGTTAAGATATTTTATTATATTTATCTATAATAGATGTTTAGCGGCAGGGAACTCTGTTTCGTAGAGTTCCGCTGCACTTTTCTCACTCCTGTGAAAAGAATTTGATTATAGGTCACATAGAAATTACCGAGCTGAAAAACTAGAACATCAACAGCATGATAAAGAAATTAAATGATGGATATCAATTGTTTTGCATATAAAGTATAAAGTCGGGGTGCGATTGCGTCACAGATAGAAACACAGGGCACAATGGGCAATAACTACAGTTAATTAAATGGAAAATCTGAGAATTTATCCACGCATATGGCATAACATTTGAGTAAGTTGTATTTCTCTTTTTCTCTTTGTTAAAATATTAACAATCGTGTATTCACGTTTATTTTCAAAATTTTCAAGAACTACTTTACTTATGTAGTGTTCTTTTGAATACCGGGGGTGATAACCGAGAAACAGTCTATTCCGTTTCTTTTTTTAATAATAAAAATAATGACTGTCTTTAATTTAGCTACTTTACTTTGACAAGGGTTTTGAAAAATAGAACTAGATTGGTGTTACATTAGAAATGCATACATAAACCTTACTTTCATCTTGAAAGTAACTTTTAAATTGATTTTATCAAATTTCTCTTATATGCAACTAATGTTTGTAAACTATTAAAAAAGACTTATATGTTAATATATACAATGTATTTAGTATTGGAATAATATCTGTTACATGTATGACATGTATTGATACATGTATGTATATATTACTAAGGGACATGTATCATTATTTCAGTACCAAACATCTTGATATTTTCCCAAATCGAGATTTAAGGACACAGATTGAAAATATTCGAGACCTTGATATACGCGACGATGACATATTCTTGGCTACTTATCCAAAATGTGGTAATTTTTACGACAGCTCTTTTTAACTTCCATTTGATCATAATTTTTATTCTGTTTTCAAAAAGGTATCTTAGTCTTATGTTTAACTTCGCGATCTTTTTATGTTCGCGTATGTTCACAAAAAATATAACCGGGTAAATGGAGCTTTTGTGTTAAAGAAAAAGTCATAGCGATCCAACATGGAAGACAAGTAATGGAGAGTAACAAGCATCATTTATATGAATCACTTATTCTACAAAGTCCTAATACACTTCTTAATTGATATTGCGCCATCATCTTCCTAGAGTATAATATATATAACTGAAATTTATAGAAACTTCTGTCTATGTCTGTTTTCAGGAACCCATTGGGTTTGGGAAATATTGGTTATGTTAAAAAGAGGAAATTCCGAATACGAAACGAAAACAAAAGAGGCAGCTTTCTTAGATTTCCGTTCACCAGAAATTATAAGAAGCATTCCGTCTCCAAGAGTCTTAAACAGCCATTACCCTTGTAAACTTGTACCGAGGGAAATGTTACAGAAAGGAACAAAAATCGTGCATGTCATGAGAAATCCAAAGGACGCCTTTGTTTCCTTTTATCATCACATGAAGCCGATGCTCAACGATACTTTTGCAAGAACCTTTCAAGATTTTCTTCCACTGATGCTTGGAGACTACGGCATTTGTGAGTATATATGCTAGTCATAGTTTCTTTACCTTTGTTTTAATACCGAAGATGTACTGAAATTTGTCGTTTTGTATATATTATGTAATACTATATGTTGTTGTTCCGAAACGAGATTAAAAAGAAAAAGGCAACATTCTTGAAGTTTCGGCCGAAATGATCTTCGTAAAATCTTAAGTGCAGTTACCCTTGTAAATTAATACCAAAAAATGTAACAGTTATGAGCCAAACAATGTTAGAATTTTCATTTGCATACCTACTTTATTCCAGGTTTGATTAAGAAAGTAATATACAGTATACTGTTATATACAAAATGATATTGACCCTTCTAGTTGTTTGTTCTTTTTTTCCCCAGACATGTTTTATCCTTGGTTTAGTTACGTAAAAGAATGGGAGACGTTTTCCAAACAACATTCAGATCAGATTTTAAATCTGTTCTTTGAAGATCTGAAAGAGGTATATCACTATTGTTTAGTATAGTAGTCATGTACTAAAATACGAACAATTAAAATATAATGATATTCAAACATTAAATAGGTTAAATTTTTTGGCAAAAAAGCTGGCATAGCCAGTATTTGCGATTTAAAAACGATTTAGTAAAAGCCCTTTTGGGACAAGGACCGTTTCAACACTAATTCGTTGACTTCGATTTTGTTGTGATTAATGCTTCCGAGAGATCACTTTGTTTACAGATTTTTATACTTCACGACAGCAGGTGTCAAGTGTTGTGTGGCAGCTGTAAAAAGTTGCCCCGTCCTTCACTTCAGTGTTGTTATATTTTTCTGGTCCTTCGGGATCATTGATGCCAGCATTATTAAGTGTTGAGAATTGAGTACCGCTCAAGCCAGTGCTAGGGGGCGTGAGGATGTTGCACTTATTCATTATCCCTCATGTACAGACTCAATCAAACCGAGTCTGCTATTCTTATGTAATTTTGTTTTGATTAATGCTTCCGAGGGATCACTTTGTTTCCAGATTTCTAAGTGTTAAATATAGGTAAAAGGTATAAACATGTAAACCTGGACAGATGTATTTAAGCTAAAATTTATCATTGAATTAACGAAAAAAATCGAATATTCAAAGTGTGATTTTTTTATTTATGAATCATACTTTGATGTACTTTGTATTGCACCACCAAAATGTTACTTGGCGGTGAACACGTATATGGTTTTGCAAAAAAATATTTGATTGAATTGACTATGATTTGATTTCTTTTTTTTCTTTTTAGGATCCTGTAAGAGAAATCAAACGAATCAATGATTTCCTAGGTACGGACAGAAGTGACGACCTAATACGACAAATTGCTGAATCATGCGACTTTAAAAAACCTCAAGAAAGCTGATGCTGAGATAAAAGTAAATGACAACAAATCGATGAAAGAGAAAATGCCTGTGATGTACAGAAAAGGTACTGATTTTATTGTATCTCCTATTTTTGTAATGTTTTTCTTTTGTTTGTTTCTAAATAATAATCAAAAGAGTTAAAAGAAGGAGACAATGAAAATAATACTAATGTCATACTGCCATATTCTCTCAATTAAACTCCACCAAGGGCAATAATTCCGGCAAAAAATGATTTATCACGAAACCTTGACAATAAGACACAAACTAAAATTGTTCCTGGCCGCAGATTACAAATTGACATATATAATAGATTTGTTCTCAGACCAGACATTGTAAAACGTCAAATTTCACAAAGAAATACTATTTATCAATATCTATATGCGTTCCAGAAATGCAGATAACCTAATTGTAGATCTTAACCGTTATTTTAAACTAATTTAACCTTACATCAAGGTAAAGTAATATTTCTCTTGCACTGCCCTTCAGTTATCTGGCAGTGGTGTCTTGACGCTGTTTTCTCCCTTCTCTGTATAATGATATTTGATCAAACGATAGGCATCTTTCAAGTTTTTATTTTCGTTTTATTCTATTAAGTACCTAAAGTGAGGCAAAACTCTTTATCTAAACAATTATGTTATAATGAAGGTATGTGTTTATTTTAACAGGAGAAGTAGGGGATTGGAAAAATCATTTCACAGTTGCTCAGAATGAATATATGGACAAATGGCTGGAAGAAAACTTGATAGAAACAGATCTTAAATTCAGATATACACTTTGACAATATAAATAATAACACTTGTTTTAAATGAACGGGGGAGTGGTAATATTTTGTTTTCAAAATTATGCAAATACAACAATGAAGACGTTCTGATGAAAACATAATGTACTGCTTCAATATTGTAAAGAGTATGAACATTCTTATGCATGTGTGTTTGTTCACAAAGACATTAAAACAGTTGGACTATGTATAAGCTTGCTTCAAGCAGGATTGGCCTAACCATCCCCCCACTATATAAATATAACATGAGAGTCTCTTCTTGCTAACAGAAATGTATTTTTTGTATGTTGGTGACATACGAACTTATTATTTTCTTTTTTGAAATATTTTCGTGTAGACTTGTATTACAACAACCTAACATTTAATTTCACATTTGAAGAAGAAAAAAAAACTTTAAAAAAATTATTATTGTTTTAAATGTTTTAACAAGCTTTTTTGTTCCGATAGGAATACTATTTTCTTAAGTTAAATTTCTAAAAAAATTTGAGAAAAACAATTCAATGAAAGCATATTTCATTTATTCGACAAAACACCCAGTTGTACTTTTAAAGTACATATTTTGCAGAGTCACATGTTACTGAATATGTTTTTTAAAAACTATGAACTTTACTGTTGTGCAAGCATGTGATGTAAAACAACTTATTAGTTTGCTAAATTGCAGTACTTAATGAATATCTTTTTTGGATGTGATTGTTAAGTATTAAATTTTACTGCTTATGCAAGACTATAGCGTTCAATGTATTTATCTTTATCCCGCTCTTTACACTGATATTACTAGGTGTACTCATCTTTAATCACTGGTTCAACTACATGAATACATGAATGTGTTTACTTGGAGGATCTTTAGGAGGGAATTTGTTCCTCTTATTGCTTTTAATGAAATCACTGCGCAACATATTTTTTAAACGAATTTATAATACATTTCAGAAGTGGACATAAGTTGTTTGACAGGAACATGCATTAGAAGATTTACCCTCGTACCGATTTCATGCATACAGTTGCGAAATTATTATTCAACGGCATCGGCAACGGCGACCGCAACAGCGAATTATTTTAAAAAAAACAGTCGGGCCTGATTATATGTTATGTGATAGGTTAGAAACTTAATGAGGTGTAGAAGTGGCCTAAGATATGCACATTTACAAAATGAATTGAATGTACGTGTTTCCGACAACCAACAAGAACTTCACAAAAATGGAGTATGCAAGAAAAACGTATTTTGTACCCTGTAGAGAACAGACACAGAATAACGTTTTCAGTTTTAGTAATAATGAATTCGTAAAACGCATTACTTTCATAAAATAATTGTGAATTTTCATAATCTTTAATTTTAAGCGAAAAATTATGTGATAAGATGAGACAAATATTTGTAACCACTGCCGTGTCATAAACCTGATTATACTAGTACGAAAGAAGTATAAGTTAGTTTTCATATCAATCAATTTTCAGAGGCAATAAATACTCCTCTTATATATAAGTAAGTATTGCTATAATCTATTTTTGAGCTCGTTTAGGATTATCGAGTACTAGTTGCGACTGGAAGTTCTTGATTATTGAATATAAGTTGTCACTGAACATTTTGGATTATTGAATATAACATGTAGTTGTCATTGAAAGTTGGCGAAGAAAGGTTGGCCAATTCAGTCATTCTTTGCATTAAACATTCAAATCATTAAGTGATAATTATGTGAAAATCATTTTGCACATTTGTTGTGTCACATATTATTTTCTCTTGTTAGTTTGGCTGTTCCTTTTTATATAAAGACTATTTTCTCCTAGTGTTTACCATAACAAATGATTTGGCACTGGTAATAGTCTAAACTGTAAGGTTACTGTTGTCTTGTTTTTCTCTCACAATTTTGTTCGCTATATACAAACGTGCAATACTGGTGTGAATTTGAGATGAACATGTTTGTTTGTTTGGGTCCACGTCACACCGACACAATATAGGTCATATAGCGACGTTCCAGCTTTCTTGGTGGAGGAAGACATTGGGTGCCCTTCCATGCATTATTTCAGGAACGACCGGGCACCTGAGTAGAACCACCGACGTTCCGTAAAGATGAAAATGTTATAATTATCTTGAAAAGATAAATATAAGAAGTCAAAAGTATTTTGTATGATGAAAATAGATAAAGATGTTTTTTTGTTATTCTCACATGACAATATCAGCAAGTGCAGATAAATAAATCTACCCGCGTGATAACTGTAATAAACATTAAAAACATGTAATAATAATAAACGCTAACTGACTACCAGATTAAACCAAATAGAAGCACCGTTTAGTCTTTAAAGTTTGTTTAATAATATAATCTTATTTTTTAGCCGTTTATGAGTATGTCATTAAATATTAAATAGGATTTATTTATTTCGTCATGTACATAACAAGAATCAATCTACGCTAGTATTCTTTGGTAACAATAACATTTTTATTTTACAAATTTCACTTCAATTATAAGGAAAAATACAACCATACACGTTACTGGGTCATAATTATAATGTTTTACACTTGATTAAATCTGTTGCTTTCAACCACCCAATTAACGCAAAATAGATATATAAAATTAAGTCTTCTAGTTTTACTTTTCTTATATTATTGGATATCAGAATGTCTACACAAAACAACCTTAAAACGCATTAGCACTGAAGTCTTTTAACCATCCAATTACTTTGAATCTGTCATGTGAATGTTTCAATAAATCATCGTCCCATGACAGAATTAAAATGTGCAGCAGACGATTATATTGATACAGTATTCACATTACAGTTGCAGGCAAATATCATGTCTAAATTAACGTTGGAATTACCTGACGGAAAAACACTTAAATACACGCACTCGTCTGGTTTAACATATAAGTAAGTTTATATTTCATTTGTAGATATTGTTTTTCATTACAAATAAGCGTACGAGAAATAAATAAATAAAACTAGTATTCTGCTCCTGAGTTTCCAATTAATTTAATTGCGTATTCCGTTAAAACTAAACATCATGGCATTTACATAATTATTAATTATAATTGGGCAAACTATGCACGTCATTTACTTATAATGGACCACTTTTCATAATGAAAAATTGCATTGCTACGGTGGCTATTTTGTGAACAGGTGAAGGTCAAGTTAAAATTTTGTCATTACACACACATTTTTATAATTTAATTCGCATGAGCGATAAATTACTTTGTGTCCCTAGAAAAGTTCTGTAAATATCCATTAAAATTTACCTGTAACGTTCAATTTATACAAAGAGTTGGGCAGTCTTTATAATTTAGGCAGATTGTTATTGCATCCCAATCAATTTCCAATATAAACTGCTGGCCAATCACCATTATAACAGTTAATTCTTTGGAATATTCAGACATTGAAAATACAAGAATAATGTCACTTTTAGGAGTAGCTTTCCATAGTTATCAAAAACTTTTCGTTTTCCTGATTCATCTGCTTTTGTTCCCATTAAACTAAGTGTTATTATTTTGATTTATCTTTAGTGAGATAGTATTAGGTTTTGTACCTGATCAAGACATGACGGCACAAAATGAGAGAATAAAAAACCTTCATATCAGAGACGACGATGTATACCTTGTTACTTATCCTAAATGCGGTATTACATTTACATTATTTATTATATAAATGAGCCGCGCCATGACAAAACCAACATAATGGGTTTGCGACCAGCATGGATCCAGACCAGCCTGCGCATCCGCGCAGTCTGATCAGGATCCATGCTGTTCGCTATCAGTTTCTCTACTTGTTATAGGGTTTGTTAGCGAACAGCATGGATCCTGCGCAGGCTATTCTGGATCCATGCTGGTCGCAAACCCATTATGTTGGTTTTGTCATGGCGTGGCTCAAATGCTTTTGTTAAGGTGCAACTCAGATATATTCGTTTTATCATGAATTATAATGTATGCAGCACGACTGCTGTACCGTGTAACTAATAAAGGTTTAAATGTAATGCGCTGTTTTCTATTTTTTATCTATAGGTATATATTGGTTCTCATTCAAAGTACATATCTTCTTTTTATTATTATGTTTTAGCAAACATAATGATTAAATTTCAGGTGTATTTAGAAATTAAAAGAACTGAACATTAGAGGATAAAGTGTAGAAGGCAATTTTATGAGTCGCAGTAACAATGTTTTGACATCTATATGTGGAAATAGATAGAGTGATTTTCGATAATTCTGTCACGCTATATTTTTTTACAGGCACTCACTGGGTATGGGAAATTATAAGCATGCTAATTGCCGGAAGTTCTGAATACCTCACGAATACAAAGGAAGCCGCATTTTTAGACTTCCAGTTACCGGAGATGACAGAAGCTATCCCGTCCAGAAGAATCTTAAATTGCCATTTCCCTTTCAAGTTAACACCCAGAGAAGTATTTGAGAAAGGCATTAAGATTGTACATGTTATGAGGAACCCGAAAGATGCATTTGTATCATTTTATCATCATATGAAGACGATAGGTGGAGATCGATTTAATCAAACTTTCCACGAGTTTCTTCCACAAATGCTCGGAGAACATGGCTTTTGTGTGTATATTTGTTCGTAATTGTTTGTGCTATTGAAGTCTACTATTTTGAATTTAGTGCTTCACATAACACATACGTATAAGACTCATAACACATAAATCATTTAATGAAATCAATGTTCTTCATGGTAAAAATACACATGTTGTTTTTTATTGTACCCAATTTCATTTTCAATTTGAATGTTAAGTTTTGTTTAAATGTATAATAGTATTTTTCCATTAAACCATATACCGTTTCACTATAATATCCAATAGAACGATTTTACACTATGCGAGTATTGTATACGTATAGTTATTAATATATATTTTCAATTTGTTGAATATGTTTTTTATAGATATGCACTATCCATGGTTTAGATACGTAAAAGAATGGGAGAAGTTTTCTAAAGAGAACCCTGAGCAGATACTTAATCTTTATTTTGAAGATCTAAAGGAGGTGAGTTAATATAATTAATAAAAATTATTATATTGTTTACGCAATAATTAACACATACATTAATGGTAATTTGCAATCCCCTTGAAACATAAGAAGAAACAAATGTGCTAGCCGCCTGGGTTCATACACCGTCAGGGGCAAGTCGTTGTTTCCTTGAGCAAGAAACTTTACACTCATTGCTCAGTACTGGTTGGTTCCAGGAATGGATTCGAAAGTGTGTCTATAAGCTTATAGCTTTCTACACAATCGAACTAAAATAAATTCTGTATAAACCAAATGTTCTCAAACAGTATATGGTACATTTTGAAATTTGATATGATTATAACAGTCATTCATTTATTATAGGTATTTCATGTAAAAGGCCCAGTAAACCTCAAAAATTATATAATTTTATTTCTCAGAACTTTTTTTTTATTTCGGTGCTTTGTCAATGTTTCCAAAATGGTTACTTATAAGATATATAGCTGATCATCTGCTTGGTTTGTATTCTAGAATATAGTACAGTAGTGATAAACTTTTTATATGACAGTCAATATACTACTGCATTCACACACGGCTACTTTTACGACAATGCTTTTTCACATTGAGCGCGATAATTTTCAAGCAAAATCTAAAAGTTTTAAACACAGATTTGCCCTATCCAAAGAAGAAAATATGTATTCATATTTAGAGTTAGTATGTCTTTTAACATTTAACTGATTATGATATCTCTGTACTATCATCAACGTAACCATATTCATTTATCAGTTCATGCCTTATATGATATTGTTACATATAATTCACATTCGAACGTTACCTGCTTATACATAAAAGGTATTGTATTTTCTCAATGAAGAATTCTGTCCTGGAAATAAAGAAAATCAACAAATTCTTGGGAACGGGACGAAGTGATGATCTCATTGAAATGATTGCGGATGCATGTACATTTCAAAAGTTGAAAAGAGCTGATGCCGAAGTAAAAGTGTTCCCAGACTTTATGCTTCATGCTGGAAGACCATGTTTCTACAGAAAAGGTCAGACTTGCCCATTTTCTTAATATTTTAATCTTCCTTCAAATGTACAAAAAAAATAAAATAATGAGAGTTAACCAACCAACTAATTTGTTTGTTAAGTTAAATTGATTATTCTTCTATTATATCAGTACAAGTGTAAGTATAGTATCATTTTATAATATCATTTTCGGATTGAAAAAAAAAATCAGAAATTATGAATAACAAGGTAAAACTGGCGTAAATAACATTATTATACAAGTATAAAACCAATTAACCTTTGGCATGAAAACAAATTTACTGTGTCACCATAACATAGACAAAAACTATGTCTATATTTGTTCTATATAAAAAGTATCCAATCTGACCTTATGTGACTTTTATCTTGAAGATCTAGATTTTAGCATACTAACTACTAAAATAGACGAGCTAAATAACTTATTTGTCAACATTCTTTTTATCTGTGATACTATATACATCAAACTATTTGCACCGAAAGTACTTGTGTTTTTGTTTAAATCACAAAATGCAGGTAACATGTATATGTTATAAACTGTGCTATGTGTTTTGTGCGGATTTCTGTTGAATTTGTGAATTAGCGTTTTGTCTAGTGACGTATGCTTTTATTTTTACACGCTTGCATATTTATATTTCCACTGTTTCATGAATTATTTGCAACAAGCATTTAGTTAAAACTTGATTTTGAATTTTGGGTCTTTCTATCATGAACGTTTATTCTTTTATTGTTAGGCGAGGTGGGAGACTGGAAGAATTACTTTACAGATGCGGAAAATGAAAATATGGACACGTGGCTTGCAGAAAATTTAATAGACACAGATTTAAAGTTCCGATACACACTTTGAATCCAGGGTCCAATCATATTTTTGAAATCTGATAAAATGAACCAGTCTTTGACCTTTTTTGAGTTTTTTTACCTTAAAATAGATGACCTTAATCAAAACTAGGTAAACCCCTTTAATTTGATCAAAGGACTTATTATGAATGATTTCAAATGAAAAGGACCCCTGTAAATACGGACTTATATCAAGGTAATAGACGCAGAACATACTTTGTTGTAAAAGTTCAGTGTCTCTTAACACAAAATTTTACGTATTTTAAAACAATCTGTCATTGTTAGAAGTTTCTTATCTAAGTTTGTGTAATGAATTAAAGTGCATGATCTTATCTTAAAATCCTTTTATAATTTTTTTCTTTATTTTTAAAAGTAGGAGAAGAGAAGGTGGGCATTGTAAAAGACACATTTTTATTACTCACTTTAGGTATATTGAATTTATATGTTATGCTCACTTTTATGGAAGGGAAGAAACGACACTAAGATCAGATGGCATAGTTCTACCTCAAACCAAAATTACGATTACATTAAATTAAATTAAATTAAATTAAATTAAATTAAATAGATAGATAGATAGATAGATAGATAGATAGATAGATAGATAGATAGATAGAAATAGATAGAGATAGATAGATAGATAGATAGATAGATAGATAGATAGATAGATAGATAGATAGATAGATAGATAGATAGATAGATAGATAGATAGAATCCCTTATAGACATGTACCAGTCATGTCGGCAAAATCTGGAAAAAAAGGAGATTACTGGAGAAAAATGATACTTTGAATGGAATAGCCAATCGGAACGTCCTCGGCTATTATCTATAATAACCCCGGAAACAATACGGATTGAAAGTAGTTCTACTGCGTGGTTTCAGATGTAAACAGAAACAGAGAGTGTAATCTTCAATTATGTAAAACGGATTTATTTATTTGAAATGCAATCTGTTTCGGTACAGTTATGATTGAAAATATGTCTTACAATCATGTTTTACTTAAATATGCCCAGTGATACACAATTTCAAACAAACCGGACTTAATGTCAACAGGTTGGCATTTTGTACTTTCGGTTTCTACAACTATAATGATAAATATATAAATAATGTATTGTTTGCTTTTGTATCTATGACTTCACTTATCTTAGGTGGACTTTTACTTGTTATATTGGAAATAAACTTGTCAACAACTCCCAGCAGTAAATTACTATTTGTTTACATGTTTAGCTTCTTAGCGTATGTTAGACCGACATACCGCCGCCGTTCTGTGTACTCATACTATTGTGTTCGAGGTCCTTATCCGAAAACTTACGGAAAGGGCCGAAAAGTTGCGATTGTGGAATAGCTCTACTCGATAGTTGATAGAGAAAGGTTGGGTACCTTTTCTGCATGTATTTTTCTACCCGAGAATTCAAGTTAATTCTCCTTTTATATATTAAATAAATTATTAGATTTTATTGATTGAGTGACTTTTTTATTGTTGTGTATTAATCTACTAGTAACAAAAGAAAAATATATTGTTCACTTATTTAATTCCTATTTTCATTTTTATGCCTGAAAATACAGTAGTATCTTTCTTACATCTCATCATTGCATATACATGATAAAAACATACATATATCTTTTAAAACAAAATAAATAAATGCAATGCCATTCTATACGGAATTATAAGAGATGGTCGTGAGAAATTACATTTAAATCGAACAGTTGATCTAAACTAGCATGGAGTTGAAATTCTATACAAGAAAGACATAAAACAATTATTTCTAGTAAAACATATATATCAACATAAAATAAAAAGCACGAATATCAACATAGAAACACATGCATTTAAGAGGTTTCTGACATATAATAAAAATATATAAGGTAATAAAAATATGTGAAACATTCCACATCTATTGTAATATTTTATTTACATAGTTTCAAATATTTAAAATATTTTTACAGGTTTTGGCACAATATCTTATTATTTTTGGCTCTTTATTGAAAAACAAGTAAGTATATTTATCAGAATCTTGCATTTCAGAGAACAAACTATCACGCTCTATTGCTCTAGATTACAAATCTACTTTTAAATTATCATAAACCTTACAATTGAACAAAACATGTAATTCATTTTCAACTGAATTATCGTTACAAAAAGGACAAATTCTATCTTCTATGCTCAGACCCTCATAACGACCGGTCTCCATACGAAACGGCGCAATTCCTAAAATGCTGACCGTTCTTTTAACAGTACTGTTCGCTTTTATATTCAGACTTAATAGATTTTTTTATAATCGTAACTTATTACATTCCATTCATTAATAAAATTATTGAAGGACACAGACTCGGTAATTTGTACAAACGTTCTAGCAATGGGATTATGTAAAAATAAATATACATTCAAATCATTCTTAATTAAAATGATTTGGTATGGAAAAACCAGTTCTTACATGTACAATTAGCTTTATTATATGCCCAGAATGCAATACGTTTTGTAGACTCTTACATATTTGCTAACTTTGACCAATACAAAGCAGTAAATTTCCATTGACGAACTATCGGTGGCTTCCATCCCATTTCACAAGCAAGCCCAACATTTGGTGTGTACTTGCCAACACCAAGAAAGAATCGCTGTGCCCTATTATAAATCGCGCCAATACATGAATATGCACGGTGTCCCCACAAAGGAACACTGTAACTTAAAACAGGCCAATCTATTGTATCATATAGTTTCGTGAAAACATTGTATGGAAGACTACCTTAACTTTTAGATTTTGCAATTAGCAAACCTAACGCTCGACTTGCACTCTGGGCCACAGTCTTAACAGTAACTAAGAGATCCAAATGTTCATGAAAAGCAACACCCAGATAGATATATCTATCAACATAATTATGCCAATATACTGGAACCGCATTTGAGTTGGTACGTTGTGCGTACTACAGAATTTGGTCTAAAATGGACAATATTGATTTTGTTTTCATGTCATTTGTACAACACAAATTACCACTGCGGTATACCGTACCCCGGATATTGCTCGATATTATGAGGACTTTCATCCCATTTCGCGACTTTGAACGGGGAACGAAGGTAAATTCAGCGACGATATTTTCCAAACTAATGGCTATTTCATTTATCTCAACGGGTTTTATATATCTAGAGGTATTTTTGTAGCTCTAAAAGACGTAAAAGTATTACAGGTATTTGTAAAATTGATTAAACTTCCCCTAAACGATCCGCTGCTCACTAGGAAATACTGACCGCGATACTGTAGAATCGTTAGAAATTATTATATTACCAATATAAAAAAAATTAATCGAGCAATTTTTTCATTCACAATCCAAATATGCTTTGTCCAAATTTCAGTCAAAAATTGTGAAAGTACAAAAAGATACAGACCAAAAAAGATACAAGAAAGTGTACCGAGTATTGATTTTAAGTGTACAGAGTATTGCAAAATAGCCCAACTTTAGTGTACAGTGTATTGCAAAACAGAATGAGCACATTAATATGGAAAATCGATATTTTTGTCTAATTTTCACGTCTGTTTATCGATTCAATTTCATTTTGCTGATAATATACTGTTTATATGATATTTATTTCAACAATGCATTTTCAGTGTTATTACTGTTCTTTCCCTACGGGCAAATACAGAGATTTAATTTCCCATTTGATTGAAAATCACACTATGGACGAAATAAAGTGTGCGCAGGGTCGGAAGCAGGGTCGGGAGCAGGGTAAAACCATTAAAATTGACGATAAAAATCTTTAAAAACATATCTCAAGAAACTGTGATCAAGGAGACCCATCTCTGAATAGAAGGAGAAGAAACAAAACATATTTAGATGACATTTATAATAGGTTTGCAAGTTTGCTTTAAGAAACGTATCGACACACTTAGTAAAATATTGGCCCGAGGGCTTATGCCGTCCAAGCATGCCGGTATCGTCTTAACCTTTTAATGCATGAACATATTGCGAAAAAAGCCTGTTTTCATTGATTTTTAAAAGCCTCTTGTTACAAGTTCAAACTGCTATGAAACTATAAACCTATATAACCTGTGGAATAGCATGCTCAATTTTAAATTTCCAGTTACCATGGCAACGGGGACGTCTTAAAATTGCCAAAAATCTCTATTTAGCGTTTTTTCCCCTCCATCAAAACTGATTTCAAGGTGCAGCAACTTCTCAATTGATTGAGATAAAGTCTAAGGTTTTCGGCGTTGATTACACGGTACGTTTAAATTGACCTGAGGCCATTTTAGACCCCCCCCCACAAGTCCCAAATTTTCTCGGCGATTAGAGGGGCTTCTGTCCCACTTCAAACCCTAAAACAGAAGGGGGCACATCCCCCTTTGGCACCCCCTTGATGTACCTTTTTAATTGGGGGGGGGGGATGGCGCCGAAAAAGTTATCACTCTTTTGAAAAACATTTCTCAAGCTCAAAATTCTAAATAGCGCATGTTTTACACTATTTGAGGCCTCAAAAGGGATGGGGTGTAAAGCTTTCAAAACACGACTTTATGAGGTAAAAGGTTATAAGGAACATAACCTTTTTGTTGCATCTGCTGCCCTTTATCATAATCTTATCAAAATCCATTATTCGGCTTTTTGAGCTGTACCCGCTCGGCAGGGGATACACTAAAAAGCAATACTCGTGACACCAGCGGGCAACTCCAACGCAATACTCGGTACACTGACATGTGTATTTATTCTCAAAATGCACTGTCATCTGAGGTTCTATTGTTGATTGAACATTTACAACATAAACATTATCATCATTATCACATTTCACTCGATTCAAGTTTTTCTTTTAAGGAAGTATATGCACAAACCATCAAATTTGACTGATCCGAGCTCATTTATCACGTGAGCAAAGAGACGAATTTTACCGTCTAATTACATTTCAAAGCTATTTCTCAACATTTTTGGGTTTTCAGCAACTAGATAAATTATCGAAGTATTTGTTTTTCTATAAAATTCATATCAAACCAATTCCAAATGACTAAATATCTTCACTGAACTTACCTTCTTTCCTCGTTCAAAGTCGCGAAATGGGACGAAAGTCCTCATAATATCGAGCAATATCCGGGGTACGGTATACC